AAAGGGTAAAACATTACTTGGAACTAAAAAGATATCGTTGTCCTCAAACAGGTGACAGGGGTTGCAACCCAAGGGAACCCATTTCTTGATGAATGGGTGACAAGCTACGGCCTGCAGTATAGTGTAGGTAGCAGCACGTATGAAGACTACGAAAAAGGGAAGATCTTCTCAGGAAGCAGCGACAGGAACACTGTTGTTAAGAACAATGTGAATCCTGCTATCACTGCGARGTACATCAGGATACGACCAAAGACATGGAATAACCATATCACGATGAGGGTGGAGTTATATGGGTGTAAATAAGGYRAGGCAATATGGAAGGGGTAATTAAATATTATATATATACAATATATTATCGATCTCCAATTTCGACACTAAACACTGTACGTCATGTGCTATCAACTAGAGACTATTGGTCACTTTAGAAACCAGCGAAGGACTGGTATATAGAAGGAATTGATCATTAATCTTATTAATTAAAAGATTATTTTAAGACGAAAAAAGAGAACATCATTAAAATTAACAGGTCTCTGCAGTTTGCCATCGATTGGCTAAGTAACAGCTAAATTATAAGCAATCAAAAACATCAAACATTTAAAAGGAATGTATGTTTGGTATCTAGGGGCAAGCGTCCCCAGTAACCATACTTTCCTTTGTCATTTTTGAGATGTTTGGGAGTTTGCTACACAAAAGGTATGAAATTAACCCAACATCTTGAAACTCCAGACATTTCCTAATTTTAATGTACTCTTTATTGTTATGGTGTTTATTTTTACGAGGTTATTCATAAAAACTCGTCCCAGTCCTTAGAAAGTTTCTAAATTGGATAATTATATTGCTTGCTATCAATCAGCTGAATGGACCTCGTGAATCTTATTGCCTTCCTACAATGACAGGCAAACACTGTCCGTGCTATCAACCAGAGACTATTCTATTGCTTGGTATTAATCAATAAATTAATGTCATGGATCTCATTACGGCCGTTGAATGATTTCCATCGCTCAAAAGATCTAAAGAATTGGTTTATTTTGACCCACACATTGGAAATTAATGTAAAACAAAAAACAGAAAATATATTTCTTACTGCCTGATTTTTACTATTGCTATCCTTTATCTCCACAGATAATTTGATCCTCGATCGTTGCCTGTTCAATTATTAAAAACAAGAAGCACACTTTTTACTGATCCAACAGACACTTGTAATCACAGCCAATTATTGCCGTGGAATATTTGGCAAATTTGTTATTATATAGAAAGCTAGATTGCAAGCGCCATGACACTTTTTAAGGGTAGTACCGGCGATCGCTCGTCCCAGTCTATATCCCCATTCACGGTCATTCCCCATTCTCCACTCGCTTTTTTAGTAACGTGCYATTTCCAAACCTCCTTCGTGCTAGTAATTTTATTTGTTTTGTCCTCACGAATTCTTAATGAGTTTGAGAAGTTAATTGTGTATTCGTTACTTTACCGTTGGTATTTGTGAATA